ACTATTTTCATTTTTCATCCATGTACTTGCGCATGGGTTTTCTGTTTCCATATTCTCCTGTGTTTTTCCTATTTACTGTTTTCATTTTCATCCATGTCCGTGTGCATGGGTTTCCTGTTCCGATTGAGTGCTCGTGCCCCTGGCAGTCGTCGCATCTCTTCACATTTCACATATTTCTCAATACTTCTTCATAATTCGTTCCAGAAATAATATTCTCTTATATTTCTGTACTATATATCCTATTTATTCTTCCATATCCTTCCTGTAACATGTGGAAGGTATTAATTATAACTATTCTTTTTCTTCACTTTTCCATTTACTTCATGAACAAAATCATAATTCCAGATTCGTTTCGCATTTTTGTTACATCCTGTAGATACTGTATTGTCGTGCTGGAACCGCGGGACTCTTAGCGGGTTGGGATTCTAGTACCACCCTAGCTTATCCCCTTAGCAGCCTCCTACTTGACGTAAGTTTCACCCCTTAAGGTCGAACCATATACAGCTTGCCCACATTCCTGTAAAAAAATATACTTCTGGCACTGTATTCATCTTCGTATGCTATGTGAGATATGCCTCTATTTCTGTGGCATCCCACCTGTGTCCACTGATTATTCCTTCTTCTTTATGATTCTGCTTCTTTGTCTCAAGCAAAGAAACTGGCTGAAACTCTTCTACATTCAGAGTACCTACTTCGTCCAAAGTCTCTATAATGTTACTTTAAACGATAGTAACTAACTATAATTTTTTCGTCTCCAGCGAGTTCTTGCATTTGCAACGATTCGGCCGCTTCAGTGAAGGCCCTTAGGTCTTCCTGTCCAATTTGCACTTTTCCCTGGTACATAAACTGCAGCAAGCCTCCTAGTGTCTCGCAAGTTACGTTTGTCAAAATCACTATAGGACGTTGACAAAGATTCGACTCAAATTTTCTTTAAATATGGGCCACAGCCCAATGAACTACTTTACGTGCTTCTATGCATTTTCCTTGCGATGCAAGCTCCACGTCTACTAAATCTTGACTGTTCCATAATGGATCCATTCCCGAACTCATATGTTCGTGGAAATCATTCCAAAATAGTGAAAAAATTTTCTGACGCCACGGTCAATTATCTTCCAAAGCTCCATTAACTTCTTTTCCCTTTTTGTTTATATGTTTATTTCCGTATGATATGCTAATTTATGACGTTAACAGACAATTGTATAAAGAATTAAATTTTTGTTAAAATAAAAGAACTTAGAAATATACGCTGCCGAAGTTATAAAACAAGTCTGTAGGAAATATTAAATAATCAAATCAAATAATAATCGATCAATCAATCAATACTCGATATCAACTAAGGTGTTAGTACTTATTTTTTGAAAAATTAAGCTCTATTAAATTCGTTTCCCTTTTTACAAATGAAACGTTATTTATAAATCCAAATATCACAATTTACTTTAATTAATTAGTTAAACAAAGTCATATCTAATTTCTCAGTGTATATTACTTGACCAAGCGCGTTTAATATTTTTCAAACACACGTCGAGCAAATAGTATCATATTTCACTTTCACTTGATACATTAAACAAAAGAATTTGATAATATTTATGTAAACCGTTAGTTAGTAAAATAATACTCAAAGAATTTATATTTTGCGCTTTTGAAAGCAATAAAATCGTACACTCAATTGAACTTGAACTTGACCTACTGGCTTAAATACTAAGTAACACTGTATTGATTATTTCTTCAAATGATTATATTCAATTCTTATATTCGACTAATAATTAATAATTTCTATTATACTTATATATCATAAAATCTGTTAGACTGTATAGTCTATATTTTTAGTGCAATATTATGGTAATTTACGAAGTTAAAAAAACAATTATATAGAGAACATCATATAATGTGTTAGTATGTATTTTTTGACAAAAATTGTACTTGTCATCTCTTCACATATATCATAAAAGCAATTCACCTACCTTAATTTAGGATTCTAGGTCTCAGGAAGGGAATTATATGAGGTTGAGAGAGTATACGTCAATGTTGAGAAAAAAAAAAGAAAAAGAGAGAAAGGATTTTCTTCCAGAAAAGGGAGTCCTGCACTCCACACAATATTTACTGGATACCTCACTGTTTCTTTAATCTGTTGTCGTCTTAGGAGAAAGAATATTGGAATGTCGATGGTGAAATGAAACGATGAAGGCTTCTTATAGCTATAAAACTTGCAAAAGTTTACAAGGATACTGAAGAAGTGACTTAATTATCCCTATTTTCCGAAATTCCCCCAAACCGGGACCGCTGTCAACACTGAAATGTGATAGATTTACGAGAGTAATAAGGGCATTTTCGTAGTAGTAAGTAGTGATACGGCGGGAGCCGTCAGGGCTCTAAGGCATTCCAGAGATTTGCCTTCCAATTCAAACTAAACTTTGACAAACTTTGACGAGAAGTCGCAGTTTTTCTTCTTCTTCTTAACATGCCATACACCAAAGTGCGTAGGCGACTATCTTATTACTAGAATTCTGTTATTGGCGGCGTGACACAGCTCGCCTGTATTGTGTAATCCTCTCTGATTAATGAGGGCTATATGCCTTATTATCATGAACTAAGAGGCGTCCGAATGACCCCTAATGGACTGTATTAATTTCACCAACGCTTGATTTTAATCACACCCCGTCCCAGGATGGTAAGTTTGTCTAATCCTTTTTTAATATAAATTAGAATAAAAAGTTGAGTATAGTCAATACAGATTTTATTTCTGAATAAACGCTAATACTACAAGCATGGACCTTATATAAATATTAATTTAGCACAATTTTGTACCGAAATATGAAGTTAGTAAACACTATATACCATGACGAAATAGTTTAGAATTCAAATAAAATATCAAAATGTTTTTATATCTACCAAGTCCTGTCCTGAGCAATGTTAAAACTGGAATCCTGGCTGTCCTTACAGGTCGTTCTTTGTTGTTGAACCGTAGTGTGGTTGTAGCACTTATAAACACTTGGATTTATTCTTGCATGAATACGGCACTCTTAGCTAATTTTTACACTATTACAAATACTTCAAATTATAATGTATGGTACTGGTACGAGTTACCATAGATGAACTATTACTATTCTCCACGCTACTTGCGAATACTTTCCAACTACTTGCGAACATATTTCATCGATAAAAAAACCATGATTCTCATTTCGAGATAACTAGCAACATTTGTACAACCCCCAACGGTGAAAGGCACTTCTTGACTCTCAATCCGAATATTAGCGGAAACGACAACGTCTGTACGCCCCAAAAGTGGACAAGGTACTGACTATTTAAAATCGATCCGACCTCCTTCCGATGCATAATAATTCCCGTGATCTGTGACGTAGTTTGTTTACGTTTAATTTCTAAGAACATGGCTTTCGAAAAATAGCCTCTGTTAATATTTAGGCAAATTCTCGGAACACTCTCCATTCTTTAATATTCATTAACCAGGGTAATTGTTTGCGGCCGGCTCCTCTACTACCTTCAATCTTCCCTTGTAGGATTAACTGTGGTATTTCATATTTTGCTCCTCTCAATATGTACCCAAGGTAACCAATCTTGCGTTTTTTAATTAATTCAAAGAATTCTCTTTGCACGCGGGCTCTCTTAAGGACGTCATCGTTTCGAACTCTATCCACCCAAGGTATGCGCATCATTCTTCTCAATGACCTCATTTCAAATGCTTCAAGTTTGTTGATAGATGTTTTTTTCTGCAGTTTTTACCAGTTCGCAAAAATACGAATAATGTAGGAATCGCAAGAAAAATGTATAATGACCATTTGCCTATTACAAAAGACAAATTTAATCACCTTCAGTCTCTTAAGACCGATATTCACCCAGATTATCATGGTTTTTAGGACTCGTTGAAGCACAATTTTTTTTTTGTTTTCAAAATATGGAAAATAGTTGTAACAATAAAACACTGAAAACTTTGTTTTCAAACTTCCACAAAATTTATTTTAACTCTTAACATCTGTGATCACTACAGAAAATAGTTGTGTTTATTTTATATCAGAATGCTTATGTTATATGTTTCTTTTATTTCTTTGAAGAATAAACATTTTATTTTTCTTCTGCAATATTGTTCTTTGTGTGTAAAAAAGACGCAAGAGAGCTGAAAATATGCTACTAAAAACCTCGTAACACCTGAAATTAAATACTATTTAAATTTCAAAAACTCGCATCTCACGTTTTTTTCGAAAAAAATCTAACTTTATTTTTTCACTGTTTAAGTTTAATCATTGTCACAAATAATTCATTTCGTGGAACTACCCACATTTCAGAAAAAAAAACAACTTTAATGGGATTATGATGGAGTTTTAGGTGATTTCTCAAAATACACTAATTTTGAGATATAATGTTTTGACATCTGAACGACGATATAAAATTAAGAATGTTCTATCAGTTCCATTCCAGTAAAATATACCCCCATTGCCAGTGTCATTTACTGCTTTTATCGCTGTATCGTAAGCTGTTTTTGCTGCTAATTTATAAGTGGTACATTACTTTGCACGAATTGACTCTATATGAATCATAGAAATGAATACATTTCTATCGTATTGTTGTTCTCATTCAAATTCAGTATTGGCTTTTGAAATGGCGCCATCTATTGGTTATATTGCGATTTAAAATTGCGTTAAAGAGAAAAAACGTTGTTTTAGGTCCATCCGTACAACTTTTTGAAAATTATCTTTTATACAAACCTTGTAATAATGATAACAAACACAACATAAAAAGAATCAACTAATTTGATGCAGTGGTTCTGATATTGTGCAATTGCCATTAAATTTATGGAACCTATATTATATTATTAAGCGATCTCATGCTGACACCAAGTTGTAAACACTTCCTATCTAAAAAAGTATCACAAAATATGTCATTTCAGAAATCTGGCATTTCTAATGACAGATGCCTACATGGCACTAAGACAGTAAACAATTATTTGCCAAAGACATTTGTACTAATTATAAATAATAAAAATAGTATACGGTTACGCAGTTTTTTATTTTATATTGCAAATTGCTATTCACACAGAATTACACAATACTAAAATTAATATTTTCCTACAAAAATATTCTTAATGGTAACATAATATTCCGAGAATCAATTTCATTGACAGGTTATTTAAAGAGTTATGGGACTAATTTAAAAAATAGCCTTAATATTCGAGCTGTATATTATAGATTGTTAACTATTGAAATTTGGTAGAAAAAAGGTAACTACGATATCTATCACATTCAACACAAACTTGACATTACAGAAACAACTATTCAGAAAAATAATGTGTTATTTTGTACAGTAAAATAAAGAAAATTTGTTTTAGATAGATACATAAATAAATATTTTAAAGTGATTTATATAAATTACTATAATAATACTTTAATTTTGCGGTAAATACACACGCTTACACTATACGTTGGTATAACGAATTATGACTAAATCATTTAACCAACAACAGGTTTCTTTAAACAATTATTGCATCTCCTTTAATTGTTTAATTTGTGTTTTTTATAATTTCTTAATTTAATCCCAAAAGTTATGAAAATTATAATACTGTATCATTTTTTTCGTCCACTCCGTATAAGTTTAAATTTGCGTTTAACAAATCTTCAAAAGTGACACGTTTAGAATTTCGACTGAGAAGGAATACTCTAAATGTTTATTTACACAGCAATTGTTTTTTTTTTCTTTTTAATTCGTATTTTTCTGTAAATCTCATAAGTTCCTATTAAAAACTTTTAATTTACGTCTCAAAATCTTCGAGTAGAATAAACATAATCCAATTATTTATTTACATTGACAAAAGTCGTTAAGTGGGTACGGCTGTGAGAATGGATGGGAATTCAGTCTTGATCTGGCATTTCACCAGTCAAGTAGTACTGGAATATTATCCCGAAGTCAAGTAAAAATTTTGGTTTTCAGCGGGCGAACGTTTATTCGCCTGCCAGAAATAGGTGTGACAGTAGAAGTTGTTGTGATTTGATTTTTGAGAAATCTATTACGATTTTTTTAACTTCCGATTTATTTCTTGCCAGCAAGATCATAAAACATGTCTAGCTGCCTGCTTATGAGAGTGAAGTTGAAGCAGTGTCTGTAATTCATCAACTTGATCGCTTGGAAACGATCAATCCTGTCCAGGACGTAATCTTCTTTTTATATATAAAATATTTTGTATTTGTATATACCTACACAAAAATATGTTTAAACTATATGTAATATGTTACTTCCAGTTATGAAAGTTATTAAGAATTAATTATTACTTTTGAATAGTTGTTTCTAAAATACATTGTCCCCTCTTAAATATTAGGGTTAATAATTAAAAACCTAGAAAAATCAAAACAGGTAAATAACAACAAATTAAATTATAGTATAACAACTATTGATACATACTTGTTACTGCGGACATCAACTTTTAACATGGTATATAAAAATGTAGATGTTTCAGCTCTTTGAAGGATTTTATTTAAATTTCTGTGAAATCGTTCTGAATGCATACTACATTACAAATGAGTACGAACTTGTATGCCCCTTGACGTAACGTGATATATAAGCAATAGACAAAAGAAAGAAAACAATAAAAGTGAACAATGTGCCACTTAATCATAGGTTTTTTTAGAGACACTATTTTAAAAAATTTCTATCAAATGAAGACTAGACATCAATAATGAGTTAAATGAAAAAAGTTGATTTTCAATAATTATACATTTTTGGAGAAACACTTTTAGGTAATAAAATCTGGAGCACCAACTTTAGTATTTAGTTATAATTACAGCATCGGAATTTTGAATAAATGAACATAATAAACGAGATAACATTGGTTTAAGATGCTAGTACAGATTAGAAAAAATCTGTACTAGCATCTGTAGATTTTTTTGCGGCGAATTCCTTACATCTCTAAGAATGATCTTAACTATTTTAGCGAAATTCAAAATTATGTCAGAGCTATACAATTTTAGCGTACGCGCGTTCACAACCGCTCACAGCCATTCAAGGCTGCGCGCGCATTCCATTTGCGCGCCAAGTCTGAGTTGAGTTCTCTTTCTCTAAAAGACCGGTTTTATTTGTTAATATATTTTTCGCTTTCTCACACGTTCTCAGTACTTGTTTAGTTGCATATAATATCAGTTAAGTGTCTATAAAATGGATCCTGCAAGAAATTCTTACAAAGAAGGCGACAAAAATTAGAAGCCGAGAAAAAGAAAAATGAGGACACCAAATGGCGATTTTGCAGGCCATCAATATACATTGGAGAAAATTACATCATTTACAAGTTCATCCGCGAAAAAACTATCTACAGCTACTGACTTTGACGTGAAATGTAATGAAAATTTTCATTATTCTATCGTATCATTTATCATTGTTTTTTCTACGTTATCTAGCATGCTCAAATGAAAAACGTGCGAGAAAGAAGTAACGTTTAGCAAAACTAATATTCGCAGTCTTGTAATTGAGGAGACAACATTGCTTGTAATTGAGGAGACAAAACTAAACTTCATCGCCTTTTGTAAATATTGGTTATGAAATAAATCGGCGTATATTATTTGTGATAAGATTGCTCGGCGTAGGCACAAATGGATTAGATTTATTTTGGTCATTAACGAAATTGACTTATTAAAATGGCTTCAAATACTGTCGCCGATATTTGTTTGAAAAAAAAAACAGGAGTGGAAGAGTAAAACAAAAATGCAAAAGAAGGATTGCCTGAAAATGAGTTAGTGGTTTCCGGAAATATGACTTGGTCGAAACGTGGTTTTAGCTCCTTAGATGGTGTTTCGACAGTAATTGGAAAATATTCGAGAAAAAGTTTAGATTTTATATTTTGTGTAACCCAAAACCTGTAAAATGTGTGAAATAATACAAGCGAAAATGAATCACGTTCAATTTGAAATATGGTTTAGCAGTGTACATAGTGAAGAAAGTTCCTCAAACTTAGAAGGTAGTTCCGGAGGTATGGAGGTTCAGGGAATTATAGAGACATTTAAAAGAATTCTATGAATCTTCATAATTCCAAATATTATATCGGTGATGGCGACTCCAAAACCTTTACAAACCTTGTGGATGCCCAACCATATGGAGATTTTACAGTACAAAAATTGAAGTGTGTTTTACACGTGGTGAAGCGAATGTTGTGACACCTATAAGAAGTAAAAAAGACTTTGACCGATGTACGAAAAATTAAAAGAACAGGAGAGAAGCAAATTCAAGTGAAAGAAAAAGCGGAGAAAAATGAAAACGCGCCAAAAACTAAACAGTTGTGAAAGAGAAAATCCAATAATTCAGTGTAAGCACCTCCGAAAACTAAGCCAAAAAACGGGGATTTGATAGAAAAAATCATGAAAGACATCAATCACTTATTCTCTGGCGATACAACGTTATCCAGATTCTATGGAGGATATGAAACAAGAAATTCGGGCCGGATATTATATCTGACAAAGCACCGCAACCGGGGTGTAATGCAAATTAGTGCAAGTATTTAAAAGCGCAAGCGAATGAGACACTCAAACCGGCTCTTAGGGCAGAGGTGCAGGAGTTAATCAAACCCGAGTTCGAGAAGTTGACACAAGATGTTTCAAAACGTTCCTTATCAAGAAATCTTACAATAATAATGAGTGCTACAATAAAACATTCTAGGCAATTGTGAAATTTCAATGGCTATCTTCAATAAAAGTCGTATGACACTCTTAAATAAGACGGAAGTCGTGGGCTGCATCACAGATAGAGCATTTTATAAATATGCGCAGCTGAAATATGAAGAAAGGATCTATATGGCCGAGAAAGCCATCAAAGTCGCATCGAAGGAAGGCCGCTGGGCCAATAAAGCAGTCCAATAAGAGCAAGAAGAGAGTTTTATAAATAATGGTTTACTTTTATAACACCAGGGATCGCAGATTGAGCAATGTAAGTGATAAAATTCCATTTTTTCAAAAGCATTTGATTATGAAATTTAAAAAAATCTTAAAACTATTTCTTCTCGAAATGACGTTTTCACTACGGCAGACACCAATTGTTCGAATCTACGCGACTGACTGCCATAATTCTTGTTTTATTTTATTTATGTCTATTCTGCAAGACAATTATTAACTACTTTTTGGAAAAAAAAATGGTAAAAAATCGATTTTTTCAACATTTCCTTCAAATGTCCGCCATTTTGTTTTTAATTTTCGATTAAAAGTAGGTGCCTTTCTTGTAAAGGCGTTTTCTTTCAGTAATCTCGTTGGAATGTTTTGTTTCAGATGTGCCAATACTGAGAATTAGTGTTCGCCATCGGATACCTTTTTTTGTACATTAACTTAGGGCACATTAATTTTAAAAAACGGGCTATTCATGGAAACTAATTTTTTTTATTTAATTCAAAGATAAAATAATGTTCCAAAAAAATTATGTTCTAATAAAGGAGCTAAGAAATTGTTTTAGTGTTATTATTTTATAAATGGTACAGGGACGAAGAGGTAGCTTATTTGACATCGACAACCGTTGAACGATACGTTGTGTACGGTCATTTAGGAGAGTTCATACAATAATAGATTCTTATTAAACGGGTTTTGTGGATAGACAACTGACCGTAATTTGAATAGTATTTTTTAAAGTTTTAATATCTTAATTTCGTATTTAAGCAAATAAAAAACAAATCAGTCAGATAATTTTATCGTGTCCAAATATTTGATTCATATTGAAATTACGAGAGAATAAAAAGCTTGTACATAAAAAATCATTTTCAATAGCACATACTATTTTAGAGGGATGTTATATTTTCCAAATGATAGGCTATGAAGTCTCTTGCTATGCGATTGTCTCTTGCAAAAACACTTGAGTTACAGCATTTTCGTTAGTTTTCTGTGATGATAACGTCTCTATACTCAATCTATGTTTTTGATGGATTGGCATAACATGACAAATCATGAGTATTTTTTAATATTTTTTCATAAAACTGATTATTTTCCTATTTTGAGAGCCAGTTGTTCGAACGATAATCAAAACTCAAATATTTAATTAAAATCAAACACGCCACGTCGTAAATTTTATTATTTTGCGTTTTAATTTAAAATAAACCATAATTAAACTCTTCTTGATGTTAATTTTTATTTACAAATCAATAATAATAAACAATTTTTAATAATTTTGACAGCTGCTGTGACGTATTTGCTTGGAATTAAATATTTGATTACAATCAAGTTTTGATTAGCGTTCGAACAATTGGCCCTTAGTACAACACATCGAAATTGATTTTTCTTTCATAAATTATTAATAAAAATATATAATTAATATATCAAATAGTAATATCGTAATACCTTGGATGCTTGCACCATAATAAGTATTTTAGTCCAGACAGGTCGAGTTAAAGTATGCCGCAGACCGCTTCAACTCAGTACCTTCGATCATATACTAACTAAGCGCATCCTTCATGCTTTGAGCGAGATACGAGTATTGCGAAAGAGAGAGCAAATAAAAATACATGCTATCTCCCTCACATCTACTATGATTGACGGGCCTCAAACCCCCCTATTTTCCTGTACAAAAGTCGAACCGTTGGGTGCGAAAGTGATAGTATTTATGTTTATTTGCTCTCTCTGTCGGTACACGCCTCGTGCTCAGAGGACTGAAAGTGATTGAAGGCTGCCTCTAGTTAGTATATGCTCGAAGCTTATTGCTGGTAAAATGATCAGGCTTATTTATTCTCTATTTTATTAAATACTAAATTAAAATTTATTCAAGTTTCTAAATGCCCAAAAACATGTTTTAATAAAACAAATGCAACTTAAAAAATTCAAGAGTTGCTAAAGCCATTCAGTCTTCGATTTTGTGTTTAAGACATTGATAAAAGAAGTCTACCAGCTCTCGGTCTATAAACTGTGATATTATAGAAAATTTGCTGCGTTGCCAGATATCTTGTTTGTTAATTTCTTGTTCATTGTTTAATAAACTCGGGAACTTTGCGACTTATATGAAATATTTTTATAGTGGCGGAACTTTAAACTTGTTGATGATGTAAGGATTCATATTTATTTTTGATTTTTGGCAATTAGTTCATTATTGATATTTGGTCCTCGCATAACTATAAATAGTAGTTTATAAATAGTTATACATAAAAAAGTAGTATACATAAAGGTGATAATAAACATAGTGGTTTTAAATGTTTTGACTGAAGTTAAAAAGCACTTAACGTTAATTCAGTAGCACTAAAGTTTTAACGATACAAAAATACTTAAGAAAAACCTTCACTGGTTCTAACGCTGCACTGGTTTCTATTTCACATAATCGTTTCGTTTGTAATTAATTAATAAATTACAATTTGGATTGTACTAGGTTGTTAGTAGCAAAAATATTCTTAGGATCCAGTTCATTTTTAGCTGCTAGATAGAGACCTACTCCAACATCTGAAACTGTGGACGGATACCATTTTTGTCGAAGTTTGCCTACACCATGATGATGAGAAATACTACCTCCGCTAGCTACTATTTCATCCCTGGCTCTCGTTTCTAACCTAAAAATAATACAAGTATTTAACGTCCAAAATATATACTTAATGTGTAATATACATTGACTAGTTAATTTCGAATAATAGCAAAGACTTTTTACAATATTTTTATAGTAAGTCGATATACAATATTTATTTTAAAAGGCAATCTATTTAGTTACAGTTAGTAGGCTAATAAACGTTGTATGTAAACTGTACCGAACTATAATGTAAAATGTACCGAAGATCTCCAACAAGTCACAAATTATAATAAATCATTAGCTGTAAACAGACAGCTACTGGTGACTTCTACAGACATCTAATCAGTACAACTTATCGATAATTCAAAAAGTTTTGCTTCATCTGCAGAAAAGACACTATCAAAACCCTATTCCCCAAACAATATCAAGCAATAATATTCCAATTACATGATTTTAATCCATCCGTTTATGAATTTTGAAATTATATACCAGCTTGTACAAGTCTAGAGGATTGCTACCGTATATTTTTGGAGTAAATTAAGAGTCTCCAAAAGTGTTTGCCACCTGCGATCTGATGTCTCGCAGTTATAAAACATAAAGTTAATTTTTTAAATTCTCTACTGCTGATTGTGCAACTTGTCTCCATGAAGCAGCCCTATTGTATGCAGATGTCCCTTGACTGTAAGGTGAAGTAAGGAAGCCTACTATGACTGAACTGATTCCTGCTTGTTTTCCGCAGTACTTCAGACCTATTATCGCATGTCCGTCCAACATACATCTTGCCGTGCGCTTGACTGGTTTATCTTTGCAGTGAGACTTTTTCCGGCCGCGGACGGTGCTGTTTGGCACTCCTAAAAGCGGATCTGGACCTAACTATTTTGTAGCTGATGCTCTACTGGTAAGCTCAACAGCTCTTGTATTTCCATGTATTCCTCGGGGAGCTATAACCTGTCGTTTTTCTCGGTATTCCTATACTAACCTACAGTCCACCTTAGTCCTTCTAAGAGCTCCCATGGCTGCATAGCTATCTGTGCATATGTTGAACCGTTTCATTTCGAAAGCCCCAATGTTAATTTCTCTTGCATAGTTCAAGATTGCATAAATTTCTGTCTGAAACAAAGGTATATTCTCCTGGTAAAATAGAAATGCTTCAATTTCCACCACTACTGAACCTAAAGTGCGTTTTCACTTGGAGAGGTACTTAGACCTGTATCTGGGTACTATGAGACTATAACACACAAGATATGCTCACTTGCCTTTCTAATTTAAATCAACTTTGCGCATGACGTCATAGCGAGACAAATCCAGGGAACGTTAGTGTATCTTCTTTTAACGATGCATCATATGGCAACGTTGTTTCATTACTGTAATGAACAACTTCGAAACTTAAACTGTTAACGGTACGTATACCTCGATGTCATATCTTGCACTAAGAAGTCATAACTAGTTACTTTCTGTGAAAACGTTGTTTGAAAATTAATAAGTAATTTGTAAAATGAATTAAAGAAATATACGAATCTTCGATTTGACTGTCTATATATTTGACTGTCTAAAGTAAATATTGCTACAAAACACAAATTAAATATAAAAGGCCGGCAAAATGTAAAGAATTTGAAACATAAGGAAAAGCGTGTCAGACTTCAGACTTTATGAATATTATTTAGACATTTATTTTACAATCTTCGTGATTTTTTTCTTGCGGACATTGTAATTATCTTTAATATTTTTATTTAGAATTAGTATTTTAAAATACATTTTACATCTACAAAAGAGTAATTTTACATCTTCGCTAACATTTACATATTTTGCAACATCTATTTAGTTTTTTAAATAATTTTTTTTAAATAAATTCCAGTGTTGGTTTGTGTAAACCACCCTCAGAAACGTGGTTTACCCAAGTAAACGATTTATCGTTAGCGTACGGAATTTATCGAATTAGTTCTTTTCTTGTAACTTAAATACAATGAAACCGGCTAAATTTTCCAATCCATCCCATTCCAGGTCATTTATATTCACATTAGTAAAATCTTGATGACTGTCAATTAAATCTTCAGGATTAATTTCTGTATCACCACTAGAAAGGTTTAGCGAGGAAAGATCTCATCAGTGACAATTTCACAATTAATTATACTATTAGTAGTCAAATTCCCTTGTTTGTCAGGCAATCCCAATAGTTTTTCTTTTAAACAATAGTCAGCTTCTGTAAAATGTTTTGAGAATATTCTCGCGGTTTCTACATTAAATTTGTCTCGCTGAAAACACTTGAAGACCCATACTTTACGCATTTGTTTGTTTCTAGAAAACACAAAAAAAAACGACGCTACGAAAAAGTTTTACCTTTCTATTATTAGTGTTTAAACAACCCACCACTGCACAATACAGTATGCCAAACAAATAATTAGTCTTCTTTAGAAAGTGGCCACAGGTAGTCGAGAAGAAGTTGCGTACGATAAACAAATTAGGTGATATTAACCCAGTAAACTGAATGTTTTCCACAAATGAATGTTTTGACCACAAAATTTATATAACACTACATTACGTCTTACACTACGTCTTTACTACATTAATGAATAAATAAAAATCTCATTCACTACGTTTTGAAGCACACAGGATAGCAAACTCGATTAACACAGCAACATAATTAACATAAACACAGATAGATCATTTAACTTGGAATAATTAAAGTTGTCTCGGGCTTACGTCACAGGTGTGCTAGAGAGATACAAGAACATGCGCGTTGACTTGTCTTATTTGTCATAGTATCATGTCTGGGTACCATATGGTCAGAAATCATCGTTCATTTGATATCCTTAATTTCATTTATAATATTACTATGTTCTGATATAACCATTACTTTGCTCAGGTTTTCTCACACTCCAGAATATCCCATTCTCGTCTCCAGTTCGACGAACAAAGGTCTAGTAGGGCTTCCGGAGCTGCAGTTATTTTCTCAGAGCCCAAGGCAAGCAAGATTTTGCATCTTGGTTAGTTTAAGGAATGGATTTTTTTTGGATAAAGCCTTAGCCACCATACCACTAAGGTATATGTAATTATTGGTTTTATCTTCTTCTTCTTGACTAGCTTTACAACTCGGGGTGAGTCTTTGCCGCAACCACTATAGCCATCGAGTAAAAAGACAAAAGAGGGAATCTAATCCTTATGAAAAGGAGACCAAAAAGGTGGCCTCTGATGGCGGACATATCCGGAAATGTGAATGCGCCAAATTTAAATTTTCAGACACTTATTAACAGTAGCTGTATAATATTTTTCAAAATGTGTCTTAGACGAGAAAGTTTTAATTAATTATTAACGATAATAGTCTAAAATGCGACACAATTGTTAAAAAACTTTAATATAAATAAGATTTCATGTGACATTTGGGACAAACAATAACATAACCTAACTAAATTTGATGTCAAACAAGGAGAGAGACTCTCTTTCCTTGTTTAATGTGGCCTCTAAAGATCGCACTTTCTATCTAACAATATTTTTGCCCCCACTACCTTTACATTCCCTCTTTTGTCTTTTGCTCGATGACTATAGCCCTCCATCCTAGATCAATCAACTTCAACATCATCCTTCCACCTTTTTCTGGGACGGCCTACTGATCTTCTACCGTCTGATCTCTGAAAAAACACTGTCTTTAGCACTGTCTTTCTCTGCTCTTACAACATGACCTGCCTATCTTATCCGGTTAGCTTTTATATGTTTGACGTTTTCAATAGAGAGTCACCAATTCAGCATTCACACTTCTGCACTCTCCTGCCAGTCACCATGTTATAAATCCAATATAACATGTTTGGTTTCCATAACACTGAGATATATGTAATTGTTGGTTTTAGCACCGTGTTATGAATCCAATATAAAATGTCTGACTTTTTATAAAACGCCTGACATTTTTAGATGAGTACATCTACCATTAACGTAGTTACCGCTTTCTTAGCGATTTCTAAAATAAAAGGTGATACATTTTCCCTTCTGGTAACTTTGTGGGACTTTTTCGACTTGATTTTGGACTTTTAGGGGCTTATGTTGTAAGTGACTTGAGAAAGGCACTCTGGCCAAAATAGCTGTAGTGATAATAATTTAAAATAAATTTTGTGGAAGTGTTGAAAACAAAATTTGAAGTCCATATTGTAACTATGCAGTCAGAGCCTGTTGCATTCTATATTTGACTGTGCCAATAAATTTGCCGTCAGCTACGATGAACATATCAATACGTACAAAACAAAGTACATGGTATTTAGTAAGCGCGAAATATTAAATACACATCTTTTGGTAAACCAACAGCCAATTGACAGGATAAACAGCTACACATAAATATCTTGGTACTAACATAAACAGTCAATGAGATCACTCTACTGAAATAAAACAACGCATAGGGAAAGCACGATCAGCGTTCGTAAAGATGAAGTTTCTTTTCAGAAGTCCAGATTTACCACTTAGTACCAAAATCTCTATCCTCAGATGCTATGTATTTTCTACATTATTATACGGAGTAGAGGCATGGACACTCTCTGAAGCTTATTTACGAAAGCTCGAGGTCTTCGAGATATGGTGTTACAGGCGCATCTTGAAAGAATTTCATGGGTGGATTGTGTGACTAATATTGAGGTCCTACGTAGAATGGACAAGCAATGCGAGTTCACTAACATAATCAAAGAGCGCAAATTAGAATATCTTGGCCATGTTATGGGAAATGAACACAGTTATGGCTTATTGCAACTCATTCTTCAGGGCAAGGTATTTGGAAAGAGAGGACCAGGGAGAAGAATATCTTGGCTTCAAAACCTAAGGAAGTGGTCCAATACGTCTACAACCGGACTATTCCGAATAGCTGCATTAACGTCACGTATATCTACGTTATGTGCTGCTATCGCTGTCCATTAACGTTACGTATATCACAGGTTTTCTCAGCACGAAATCTATCCATCTGCAGCTTGTTTTGTCTATACCTTTTAGACAAATCGTCCTTATGATAGCTTCGTACGAGGTGTTGTCGAAGAATTACTGATTAGTAGGTAGTAATGCATTGGTTAGTGATCAGTGTCTGGGGAAAACTGAGATCTCATCTCGGAAGCCCTGAAGAAGATATCAAAGAGGATATCGAAACTCGGCGCAATGATTCAACCGCGACGACATATAACCGCGAATTCTATATATATATATATATATATATATATATATATATATATATTATATAATATATATATATATATATATATATATATATATATATATATAGACTTCTCTTCGGTAGCGACTTAGGTGAACTGCAAATCCAAGCTTACTGGAAGCTATTGGACGATGTAAGAAAAAACTTTTATTCCGACACTACATTTACATACACAGGCATGTTATGTTACTATAACGGCCATATAGATAAACAGCATTTCATTTCAAGCTATCATAAGTCTTCTCGACAGGATGTGAAACATTGAAACGGGTGTAGAATAATGGTGGAGTCTACTTTCATATAAATAAAGGAAACCCATTTATATCTTCACGATCTTGTTAGGAAACTGCGGCGGGAATTATTACCACTTCAAAAGAATATAACAGCTTATTTCTGATATATTACTCCATAACATTTATCTGCCAGAAACCACTTTCAAAGATGCCTGCTCGCCGAACCTTAATAAACATCAATACTTAATTATAGATCACTTCTTTCAGGTTTCAGATCTCGTAGAAGTACCTTAGATAATTTAACTCTCTATTACCTTACACAATTTAACTTTAAAATTGAAAACCGTATTCTCGGCCAAACAAGAAGTTATAGCATACCGATTGACATTAAAAACGCCATCGATACAACTTGGAGATCAACGATTTCGAAGAGATGAAAATGTGACATTCATCCACTCTCATGGATGAAGGTTCAGCCCTGAGTATAAAGCTTTTTATATTACCGATTAATTACATTTGTTCTCTTATTTCTCAATTCCCAGTAAAGTTCGGACTCTACGCAAATAATTTTATTCTTTAATGATGTGGAAAAAAATACGTCAACTACTTGTAAATTAAAAAATTTATTAAAATTGTTTATAAAAGGAATATAATTAAAAAACCCAATCGGGCTATATCAATTCCACAAACGTTTTGTTGTTGTGATATAGCCCGATCGGGTTTTTAATTATATACCTTTTATAAAGGATTTTAATAAATTTTTGTGATACATGGTATACAGCCAGCTACAGGAACTAAGTTTCCTTGTGGACTTGTAAATTACTTCAAAATGCAATAAATACTCTATATGGCCTACGACAACCGGTTTTAACTTAGCAACTAATAAGAAATAGTAACAAAATTTAACAGAAAAAGAAATAGTGCTATCTCACAAACCAACCTGAACTCCATCTTACTAGACGTGGTCGGTGCCTAAAAATTCCTTTGTCTAATCTTTGACAGCTGTCTTACATGGCGAAAGCATATCGAAAATACAAAAGCGACTGATTTAAATAGGTTGTAAACCCTTAAAGCCTTGTTGCATCATAATTGGGGATTAGAAGAAGTTCTTCTTAGAATATATACTCAACTTGTTAATCCCAATTACGAAATTTAGATACGATATCAATACAGCCTCCAAAACTTTTTCGAGGCATTCAGATCCAGCGCATCCAAGACACTCTACTATGAATACCTTTTTCACTTAGATACGAGCAACTACTTTTTTCATAATCGGCTATTATATATAATATAAATCCTAACTCAATAACACTGAATATTTAGAAAAATTCCCAACCCATTACCTATAGAGTTAACTCGTTCAAAGGAAATCTCAAACCCACAAAAATGACTACTAATCTTCTTTTAACCATTCTACCATATACAGACTTACACCCACGATTTAATTTATTTAGATTGGTTTTTAGGTAGGATAAACAGAACGAGGACCTAAGCTGAGAGATTTTGATTAAATCCAATTGATTATTTAGTAAGGTTCAATAGTTTATAATGTATTTAACACTTAATACATTACTTTTAACATACCTGTTATGTAACGTTACGGGATCTCCCAAACCGCAATGATTAAACCCTAAATAAAAATAAATAACGCATCCAGCATCGTAGGTTTGAGTTACGCGACAATTTATTAAAAAGTGTGTGATTCCTAGTCGTCTACATTCATCGGCAACCACGTGCTTAACATTCCTGACGAGTTTAACAGCTCTGTCCCAAGGAACTGACGTTTCAAATGACTCGGCAACAACTTCAAATTGGAGCCCCAGATCCTAAAAACAAAATCAAAACATTTTAAAATAAATATTGTTGTTTTTTACTCTCATACATATTAGAACAAAAAAAACGACGTGCTGACAAAAGTAAATACTTTTTTAAAACTTTTTTTAAAGAAATTTAAAAAAAGATAAAAAAAAATTGTTTATTTCCAACAGACGTGTCATGTCTTGGTGCCATGAAAACATCTCTAGTCAAACCTGTTCATGTAGAAGCTATTAAGCCTCATTTAAATTCCCAGACAAATTTCTTCTCAAAATATCCAGAACCAACAATAATCTATATTCAAATATAGTAGTATTAAAGAACAAGATCTTACAAATAAATATTGGCCGAAGAAAAATTCTCCACTACTGTATATCGCACTTTAATCTAATTAAGATATCCTCAGTGATTTATATTATCCCAGGTCAACTTTGTCAGATGTTTATGATTACAATTCATTGTTTCTAAATATAAATATAGTAAAACCTTCATATATCGATAATTTTTTATCTTATTATACTCAACACTTGCAAGCTTCGAAGAATCAGTGGCAATACATACCGATGCTTCCAAGTCTAAGCAATCTAAGAAGCTTTGACATTTGCCTACAATTGATACTGCAATAATTATATCGGACTCCCTGTCTGTTTTCAATTCCTTGGTTTTGGCTAAGTACCCAAGTTACTCCTCCAATTATATCATATATGCAATTAAAAATGGATTTTAGAACTGCAAAAGGTTAACAAAAACATTAATTTTGTATAGGTTAAAGCCCATACCGGTCTAGAACATAACGACTATATGGATATACTGGCAAAAAAAAGTGTAAAAAATGGTTTGACCAATAAACTACCTGTAAGTTTTTGTGACGCAGTCGTTTATATTAAAATGAAATATCTCAATAATTGGAACGAATGTTGATCAAAACATACTTATACCAACCCTTCTAGACACTGCAGTATACAAAATCAAATACCGAATAGGACGTGGTTCCAGCCATGTCATTATTCAAGAAAATATATCATAAGTGTTATGTAACACGTCTTAGATTTGGCCACGCCTGTTATCCCACACATCTACATAAAATTCATGTTTTCGAAAATGATCAAAATTGTGACAAAAAAGGTGATTTAGATCATATTTTTTTCGAATGCCAAAAATATAAGGATGAAACAGATCACTTTATTAACCAATTACGTTATCAGGCTCCGCTTAATATCCTTAGTCTCAGCTAATGGAAATAAGAGAATTTATAATGCATTAGTAAACTTTTTGTCAAGTACCAAAATAGTCTTCTAGTGTCAACTATCAAAAAAATTAATTACTATTTATAACTGGGAATAAGCCACAATTAAAGATAAAAATACGTTTATTGACGTTTCAATTTCCAATTCGGAAATCGTTCTCAAAATACAAAAATTTTTGTATTTTGAGAACGATTTCCGAATTGGAAATTGAAACGTCAATAAACGTATTTTTATCTTTAATTGTGGCTTATTCCCAGTTATAAATAGTAATTAATTTACAATGCCACAAGAAAATAGCTTCATATCAAAAAATATATGTATATGCAAAATTGTGGTGAGCAATTTGGACACTCCATAGCAAAGCCGCTGTCGGATTGAGTAGATAGCTGCTCAGGAGTTTGGTATGGAACTCTGAGAACCTCATCATCTTGTTTATATATAAATATAGATAAAAAGGAGATAATACAAAAAAAGCATTTTGAATTATATTATGTGTACCATTTTTTGAACACACTGATAATATTGAAAAGAAGCTATATTTAACTTTGATATTTTATGGACTTTTCGGTCATTAAATTTTTATGTTTGAGGAATTAGTCATGTTGTCACTGGCTGATTGACCTTGAATTATAGAGAATTGGGCATTAAAATCAATGAAATCAACGTCAATAATCTAAGATACGTAGAAGATTCAGTATTAATTGGTTCGAAGGAGGAAGAGTTGCAACTACTGATAAATAGACTGACAGAAGCAAGCGATGGATATGGGCTAAAACTTTTTAAAAACCAAATTTATGATTATTGAACATTTTATACATGAGAATAAACAACAATTCATTGTAATAGAAATTATATTTTCAAAAAGGTCAAATGAATAGAGCAAACAGAGCCGCCGGCTGCCTAAATGAAACAATATGGAGAAATAAAAATATCGAAAAAGGAACGAAAAGCACTGTTTACAAAATAGTCATCAGATCAATAATGACATAAACAGCAGAAACAAGAGCTGACACAGAGAGGACAAAAAAAATGTTAACAGCAGAGATGAAAACACCTAGAAAAATTGATGGTAAGACACTATGGGACAGAGCTAGAAGTACAGATATACAACGTAGATGCAAGGTGGAGAACATCGAGAACTGGGTAAGAAATAGAAGAGTAGAATGGAACGTTCATATAAGCCGAATGACAAAAAATAGAGTAGTAAAGCCGGCAAGAGACGGCTCACCAATAGGAAGACGATCAATAGCAAGACCACGGAAACGATGGAACAACAACTTACTGGAGGCACAATGAAAAACAGACAGTCATGTCTATATAAAAAGAAGAAGAAGAAGAAATTGTATTTTTTAATTTCTTTAGACATTTTGATTTCCAATGCGGAAATCGTTTTCCAAAAATTCTGAAATAAAATTGTGAAAAATAGATTTATACCCTATAAATACTGTTTTAAATTGGCGGCGAAACAAAATTTGATAGTCAGCTATATCCACGGTTGATATAAAACTCTGATCTTTCTGCGCTTATTATTAATTGTGTAGATTCTTACTGATAACTTCTTTATTTAATATTGGTAACTGTATACTCATGCATTCTATTAATAAATTTTCTACACAAATTGCTTCATTTAGAGCATGAGAAACATGAAAATTGCAACATGAGAAAGGCTTCCTTAATTTTCCTTTTTTTACTATCTGTTTCGTTCATAACTATTGGAGCATCTTTCCATTGGACTCTATATTCATTGTCCTAAGCATGTTTGCATATCTGAGATCTATCAAAATCTTTTTTAATTTAAATATTATTTTATAAGTACCGCTGACGCAGTACAAAGCAGATGGGTTGAGCACTTCAAAGAACTACTTGGTACCGAAGTGGAAAATGATGCGTCACCCCAAAGACCAAGAAATAACACTCACGTAGAACCTCCTTCAATATTTGAAGTGAAAGACGCAATCACACGACTCAAAAATAGCAAGTCCCCAGGAGTGGATTGTATCCCCGCAGAGCTCATCAAACATGGAGGTAACAGCATTATGCACCAAATTCACAACATAATAGTCAAAGTCTGGGAAGAAGAACAAATGCCAGAGGAATGGTGCACTGGAATCATATGTCCACTACACAAAAAGGGAGATTTGTTGGAATGTAAAAATTATAGGGGTATAACTCTTCTGAATACAATGTACAAAATATTCTCCAACACCCTGTACAGCCGTTTAAGTACGTACGTGGAAGAAATCCTTGGTGAGTATCAAAGCGGTTTTAGGCCAGGTAGGTCAACAATTGACCAGATTTTTGTGCTACGTCAAATCTTAGAAAAAACCAATGAATTTAATATTGACACGTTCCATCTCTTTGTGGACTTTAAGTCAGCGTATGATAGCGTCCTAAGAGGTAAATTATACGAAGCCATGAATGAACTTAACATTCCCCATAAATTAATAAGGCTCGTAAAAACAACTATGAGTAAAGTGATCTGCAGAGTGCAAATACAAGGCGATATGTCACAAGCGTTTGAAACATATGCAGGGTTACGGCAGGGAGACGCGCTGGCGTGCCTTCTCTTTAATATAGCGTTAGAAAAGACTATAAGAGATACCGAGTTACACAATAGGGGAACAATCTTTAATAAATCAACGCAGATTATGGCGTACGCTGACGATTTGGATTTGATTGCACGTACTACACGAGGACTTAAAGAGATGACTTCCACCTTCTTGACAGCCGCACAAAACATGGGCCTTAAAATAAACGAGGAAAAAAACCAAAATGCTAGCATCTATTCCAAATAACAGAGATAGAGCTAGAAACGCCGAACAAAACTTCAGTATAGACCAATATAATTTTGAGGTAGTAAATAAGTTTACATATTTGGGTTCTCTCATAACAAACGATAATGATACATCTGAAGAAGTTAAACGGAGGGTACTGCTAGCAAACAAATGTTATTTTGGACTAAGCAAGCAGCTAAAAAACAGAAACTTAAGCCAGAAAACCAAACTAATAATATATCGAACACTCATCCTACCAGTGCTGACATATGGGTCAGAAACATGGACCATCTCCAAAACAGACGCAAATCTTCTGCTCGTCTTCGAAAGGAAGATACTAAGAAGAATAATGGGCGCATTCTGTGAGAATGGTATTTGGAGAAGGCGATATAATTTCGAATTGTACGAGAAATATAAAAAAATAGTAAATGGTAGAGACGTAATATCCTTCATAAAAATAGGCAGGCTTAGATGGGCTGGACATGTGTCAAGAGCAAATGAAAATTACCCACCCAGACGAACTCTATTATCGGTCCCAGTGGGAAATAGGAGTAGAGGCAGACCACGACTGAGATGGAGGGACGGTGTGGACGACGACGCAAGGAAAATCGGCGCGGCAAATTTTCAACGGTTGGCGATGAACAGAAACGACTGGCGAAATAGACTGGGGAAGGTCAAGGCTCAACTAGAGCTGTAGCACTACTGATGATGATGATTATTTTATATGGGATGAAACCACAATTAATTGTAATGCAGGTTTTTAGCAGGTATAAAATATTCAGTAAAAACATGCCACAAAGAAATAGTTTTAGAAACATTTCAAATTTATGGGTACAGCATTATGGAATAGTATGTAGAGGCAAAAGGAAGAAAAAAAGAAGAAGAAAAAAGACAACGAATACCAATAAGGATAAAAATAAGAGTAATATAAAGAACAATAAGTACAATAATACGAACAAATAACAAGATAACCACGACTATCAAAAATAAACTCTTCTAAAAAACTAGGTGTTCTGTTACAAATTATAAATATTAAGTCTTACCCAATTACGTCGCAGAAGCTTATACGCTGGAATATTTGCTTAGAGTACACGCTTATTTACTGTGCAGCAGTAGCTAATTTAACGGAAATTAAGATCGGAACACGACGGGGTACCAATGTCGGAAGGACAGATAACATAGCTGTACCCTAGAAAACGGCTTAGAAATAAGATTTAATTATTGCATAGGGATATTGGTCGAATGACAGAACATATACGGGGAATAACAAGTAGACAGTCCTCAAAAGAGCTTAAGATGCTGAGCACTGCTAGACACTCGCAATATGATTCAGAAAACAACACAGCCCAACAGTGCCTGGATGCATTAAAATAAAAACTCTCTGTTATTGAGGATGACTAAGGAGGTATAAAGTTAGTAACAGCCGGAAACGCGACAATGCATGAGCATTGTCGCATCAATCAGCATTGAGCATGCTGAGAAGGCGTTCTATCGGAAAATTATTTCCACTGTAAAAAGTGCCAATAAATCATACACAAGCCTAGACGAAATTCAAGTGTTTTGGGGAAATCAACTTTCGACACCAGCTGCTCTTAACACCAACGCTGGATGGATAGAAGATACGATGCACAACTGTCAACACTACCGTACGACTATCTATGAACCCTTCACCACAGAAGAAGTCTCTAATATCATTAAAGAGCTTTGTAACTGGAAATCTCCTAGACCAGACGGAGTTTAAAACTTCTAGCTTAAACAGTTTTGGAGTGCTTATCAACAGTAATTAATCATGTTATTTCTAATCCGCAGGAAATACCATCATTCCTAACTCAGGGAACAACTTATTTAATACCGAAGGATCAAAATAATACCCAAAATCCAGCCGAGTACCGCCTAATTACTTGTATTCCAACTCTATAAATTGGTCACATACTGTGTAGCCTAGCGTATCTACTAACACTGTGCTCTAAACAATATCATAAAACCTCAACAGAAAGGATGTGCTAAGGATTCCATGGGTCGCAAGAACAATTTATTCTCTATTCAGTCATTTCTAACCAGGCATACACAAAAAAACCTCTTTACTGCCTTTATTGACTACAAAAAAGTCTTTGACCCAGTGCCGCATAAATGGATTGTAGTTATATTAAGAATATATAAAGTCGATGATAATATAGTGACCTTCTTAAGACATAATGACAGATTAGAAGACTAAAATTCAGCTCCAAATACCTGTTGAAAACAATATCGAAACGGAAAAGAAGACTGACTGCGTCCGTTGTGGTTCTGTCTAGCGATGGGCCCACTACCGTAGCTATTAAACTCCATTGACTCAGATTTTAATATACAACAATACTGGTGGCGAAGCCTAAACACCTGTTGTATATGGATGATTTGAAACTAATGGCTTCCATTCGAAACAACCTAGATCAGATGCGAAAAACTGTAGAAACTTTCTCAACTGATATCAGTATGAACTTTGGACTAGACAAGTACCGTGTACTAAATATAGTCAAAGGAAAGATTCCGCCCGGGGGATTCGATAGCAAAATGGCCAAAACATCGAGGCTATGGGTGAAAATGACATATACTTCATCTAATTTACTTACCGTTGCACGTCATCCGCGTCATAGTCCGTAAGGTCACATGATACCAACACGAAATATTTATGCGGTAGGTGTGTTCTTTTTTAGAATCACTTTGCTGAGTACACTGGCATTACAGCCACTGGATATATTTTATTATATATGCGTAGAAATAATATTTAAAGATTTCTATTAATGTTAACTTAAAGAAATATACAATAATATGTTTCATTTAATTTGTAAAAATGCATTATAAAGCGTTTTTGTGAAGAACATTTGTTCGGAACATACTGTAACTGTAATCGAACGAAGGTGATATTTTGGCATAAATTGGTATCACTTATTTGACAGTTGCAGCGTTGACACTTTGTGTACTTTATTATTTTGAATTTTAAAGTGAATACCTCTTGTTTTATATTTTTACCTATTTAATAAAATCTGTTCTTTTTAGAGCAAAATTAATGTGTTTTATTTAAAAAATGTCACGTAAGAATTTAAATAGTCGTTGTAAAGAGATGGTAATACTAATACTTTTGCAATAATTATGTGACCTATTTGATTTAAAGTGAAGTCAGGATTTTTTTATACTTTGGCAACTATGTCAACAAGTATATATAAATATTAAGGAGTAAAACAAGCGCGGAAAATTGACCATAAACAAATGAAAATCGACTTAACTTCAGAGTTCATAAATAGGGTAAAACAGTTGCTGCGTTTTTCATCTTAATACTAAAAACTTGTCTAATGCACTGAACACCTACAAATTTTCCGCTTAGCTACTCATTTGTCATTATTAAGTGGATTAAATGATAGAAATAGAAACTCTTCAGCGAAAAGTACGAACAACCTCACGAAGGCACAAAAATACCATCCTCGAAGTGCAGTAGAAAGAACGACATTACCGCGGTATTTAGGAGGACGAGGACTTATGGATATAAGTGATAAATTAGAAAAACAGATTACTAATTAAGGACCTTATTTTCAGGTGCAGGCGAAGAGATCTACTCTACATAGCGCGATTTTTGTAGTAGATAACCCAACATCGATCAAACTGAGGGAACCAGAAATGCGCATAAACCATCTTATTAAGAACGAAAAAATGCGCACCTGGATGGGTAAACCTCTGCAAGAGCGACGTCCCTATGAGGTCAGTCAAGACTATGTCGACAATATAGCGTCGCACTCAGGTTGGCATCAGGAAAGATGTTCCCTGAAACAGAAGGTTCATTACTTGCCATTCAGGACCCTGAAATATATCGTCAAGAATCTTCAGGTCCAAGAGGCTGCCAGGCATTTGCTGCAACTGAATATAAGGAACGGCATGACTCAGTAGGAAAGATCCTTCATCAAGAGATAGCTTTCAAACTGGGACTTCTCCAAACAAGCCATCTCCCATATGATGAATACGTTCGTGAGAGTATGCTTGAGAACGACGACTACAAGTTATATTGGGATCGCACTGTACAATCGTAAAAGATTAAACAGTATGATGAATACGTTCGTGAACGTATGCTTGAGAACGACAACTACAAGTTATATTGGGATCGCACTGTACAATCACAGAAGATTAAACAGTAGCACATAATAGACCAGATCTAGTACTAGTTAGTAAACTAAAGAGACAAACAATACTAATCCATGTGGGGAGACCTAACAACAATAATCTGCGTGTTAAAAACAACAAAAAGATCGCCAAGAACAGAAATCTGGAAATACAAATAAGGAGACAATGGAGAAAGGAAAGTACCCAGACAATACATATTATTCTTTCTGAATAATATTCCATCCAATGTTCTTTGGAATGGCTTCATTACTGAAGCCATTCCAAAGAACCTCCTAGAAAACATAAAGCTGGGTCTAAATAAATATCTATATAAAATCATGCAGAACGCTGAGCCCCTCTCAACTTTCAGATGCGTACGAAAATTTTCGGGAGATACACCGACGTATTAAGTCAACAAGGGTTCGATAACACAGAAAGCGTCCCACCAGAACTTAATCCTTTTTATACCGTAGTTATCTGGAATAAGTGAATTTTCCTCTTAGAGGAAGTGTGGGCAGTATGACAAAATCTGGAGACAAGATGATGATGATAATACATTGTAATAACAATCTCCTTCAGAACTAAGATTTTGCTAATAACGGTTAAAAAAGAAACTTACCCTAATATATGCAATAACGAACGTTAACATATATCCCCTTTCTCCATTTTGTTCGCCTGCGGGAAATCCTCCATAATTTTTACACAAATTATAAAGATTTTTTTCATTGATTTTAACTTCACTTTCTTCGCCTTCAAATAGAAGAGTCATAACACACATATGATCTGGATCAAATCCTTTAATCATTGTGATGTAAAATTTCTTAATACCGTCCAATACTAAACCAAAATAAGTAGATTCTGGTTTAAGAATTAAAGCAAATTTGAATTGTTCATTATCCATTAACCTAATTGAAGCTGGTTGCCACTTTCTTTTCGCTACCTAAAAAATTAAAATTCTGTAAGTACAACCTTTAGTTTTTTTTTAATTAAAGTATCTTGGCAACTATAGACCATTGACAATAGTACATTTGTTACAATATGTTTAAGTTTACATACATATAAATCTGTTTATATACAAGTTAGGATAATTACACTAAGAAGTAAAGATGACAGTCTTTTAGAAAACGAATTATGGCTCTGCACATGTTTGTAGAACCAAGTAGATCATTGAAATTATTCTCTTTGAGGTGTTTAGTGGAGACATTCTAGTAATATGTGCTGGACTGTTAAGGAGTCATTACAATGTTCACATCGAGGGCGGTTTTCAGAAGACATCAGATATCCATGAGTAAGACGAGTGTGATCTATTCTGAGCGTTCAGATAATAATATTGTCTTTTATGCTCATTTGGGGCATGGTGATGGAGGTAACAGTTAGTTGAATTGTGCATAGCTTTGTATTTTGCACGTTCCAGTGTGTTTGTCCAGTGCTTGATACTAGCCTTTAGATCTTGGTTAAATTGTATGTTATTTTCCCTATTTTCCAAGGAACATGCCTGTTTTGCTGCATGATCAGCGTTCTCATTTCCATTGATACATTGTTGAGAGAGAATCTGTGCATATTGCTAATGATTTCTCATTAGTAATGGGCTAATCTAATGACTCGAGTATACCGTACAGTTCAGCTGTGTGTATAGTGCATCTGGGAGAAAGTCTATATGATGCTACTGTTATATTTGAGGTGCTGATGGTACAACCGACGGCCTGTTCTTTGGAAGCATCTGTGTAGAGAATTTGTCATAATGCTGTCTGTATAATTTCTTCAAATGTTTGTACCGAGAGAGTTCTGGGCGTTTCTTCTTTTTTGTATCGATTTAAGCTGGTGAGGACAGTAGGTAGCTTTTGGTCCACGGGGGAATTCTGGACGTAGTAACAGGAGTTGTGAGTGTTCGGTCTGTATCTTTTAGCCATGTTTTTGTGCTCAAGGGTGACTTATCTGGGACAGGGTGGGAAGTATTAATTAGTTTAATTACTGGGTTTTTCGTATTAGCAGAAAATCTAGAGAAGTAAGACATTAGTAAACGTTGCCCTTTTATAAAATGTAACTTATAAAATGTGAAAAGGACTTGATTTAAATGTTCCGAAGCTAATGCGTAAAGAAGTGTTGTGAATTGTATTCAGCAGATATGTAGAGAATGCTTCCGTAATCCAACCTAGAGCGGATCAAGGTTCTGTAAATTCTTAGTAGGACTTTCTGTTCTGCCCCCATTGATGATGAGCTAGAGTTTTTAATATATGATTCTATTTAGGCAGTTTGTTTTGTATTTGATCTCTCTATGTAAGTCTTTTATAGAATATTACTCTTAATAATTTGTGTTGTATCACATGTTGTATCACATCTCCTCCTTGAAGAGGGATCCATTTAGGTGAAGTAGAGAAGGGGAAGTGAAAATTTTACTCCAATTTTAATGCACCAGTTATGTGTGCATAATTAACTCTTAAGATTCTTAAGAGTCTTTTAGAGTAAAGAGCATGTGCTCCTTGTAATTTTACCTTGGCAATAAAGAACAAGAGAGTTTATATTGTTAATGCTAAGAAGAAAAAGAGTGGGGCTTAGAACTGAGCCTTAAGGTACTCTATTTCTTGAGATATGTGTTACAGATGTTTTTCCGTTTGCAACTAATTTGAATGAGTTCACTTCTGAGAAATTGTTTATAAATGTGAGAATATTACCCGTTAAATTGAGTTCCTCAAGTTTTTTAATGATAACAGCTCTGTTTATTGTGTCGAAAGCGCTTTCTAAATCTAAGGCAACTGTGATGACGTCATTATTATTTGCTATAGCTTGGGTTATTTCTGTTTAGAGAAGTATTAGGTTATATATCGTACTTCGATTAGATCTGAATCCCGACTGACCTGCATCTATCAGATTGTGTCAGAAACCATAGCAAACGTTTATTTATGATCTTTTTTAGTAGTTTGCACAGTGTGCATGTTAGTGATATAGGCCTGAAGGCATTGGCAGCGTTAGAAGATAACTCATTTTTCTGATCGGTATGGTAAGCGACTGTAGTCAGACTCGGAAAGCTTTGGCTAAACCATATCTTATTGTAGAGCGCAAGCAGCTTCGAGAGGGTTGCTGCCTGTAGATGTTTGAGAAAGATAGAAGAGATATCCAGGACCTGCAGATGAGCTTTTCATTGATGAGATTGCCAAATTTAATGCTACTTCTGTGAAGGCAAGGTTTATTGGATTGATTTGGATATGGATAGGTGGTGAGTGGTTTGAGGGTACTAAATGGAGAGTTCAGAATTAGTATTGTTTTAAAAGTATTAAGCTAGGGTTCCGGCACCATGTTGGGTACCATGCAGTTATCGCAATCGCTTCTGGGCTTGTGTATAGGTCAAACTCTTGATGGAAAATATCGTTGGAAACGAAAATAGACAAGCCGCCACTTGCTTGTAGCTGTGTAAGGTATTAAAAGTTGTAGCTAGTGTAGTTTTTTATATAGGGGTTGTGAGCTTTGGTGAAATTGGAAATTGGTTTCTTGAAGACAGATAAACTGGCGGAAAGTCCGATATGAGTTTTTGTAAGTATTCTAGTCTGGGGTAAAAACCATCGCAGTTCCATTGAATTAGTCTTAACATGGAGTTAGTATTAATTAGTATTAATAAGAGCTGATTTGAGAAGATTGGGATGGTTCTGAGCTATTAGAACCGGCGGAAAGATTTGGGGTGGGCGTACTTTCGGGTTCTTCTGGATCAGTGCCTAAGGCCTATATCAGTTTTTTAGTTAGACAGGTTAGCCTGTTTTTGATAAACCTCTCCTAACAAGTTGGGTGCTTGGTTTTTAGAAATTAGATCTGAAACATTTTCTGTAAACTAAAGAGCTTCAGCGCAAGGGTAACTACAGCCAAAAGTGTTTTCGCTAAAGCCTATCAAGTTTTCTGGAGGAATAACCTGAGGTTTGCTTATATGCTTCTTTGATAGCGTTTTTCGTTAAACCAGAAACGTAACGTTCTGACGGTGAACTTGTTCTGGGTTTCTTAATATCTCTGCTAGAAGGAGGAATAATGTTGCCTCGGACGGATTTGCGACAGAGATGCTATCGGGAATATCAGTCTGTTCACTTGTACTTTCGATTTTAGAGTGGCCAACTTTATGTGTGGGTGTTTTAGTTGGTATAGAATTGTTTAGATCTAAAGCAGGCATATGTGGTAATTAAGTGAAGGATTGGGACAATATGCACTGACTTCTTGCATATGAAGCTTTCCATTTTGTCTGTGGACAAAAAGATTCTGTTTTCATAAAAATGGGCTAACTAATGAAGTTACAGATTGAAATTGCCATCAGAGGTAAAAACTATACACTTGCCTTCTAAAGCTCATGATGTGAGAATATTCATCACCGGGGATACCTGCTCTTAAAAATGAGACGTGGGAGGTCAGTTGAAGCCCAAGTCCTTTTATAGCATTTTCTGCAAGGTCGTAGATGGAGATATATCGGATATTATTATCCTTTTTGTGGGAGAGACTAGCTTGGGGACATTCAACACGGAGTTTCCTACTGTTAACATAGGATGAGTTGATGTAGAATTATGCTGAATATTTTGTGATATCTTGAAAAGTTGTGAACTGCGAGGATCTGATGAAAGAACCAAATTCTGTCCAAAACCAAACCTAACAACACACAAGAAGATCAAAGGACTGCATCTATAAAATACAATATATACACAATATATAATATAAAACAATATTTATGTGGGAGAAACCGCAAGACCACTAAGTATCCGGAAAAACGAAGCATGAAGCATAAATCAAAAATAGAGACTGACAAATCATAGATATGCAATCATACCTGGGACAATGAGCACAAAGTACAATGGAAAAATGTCATGAAAGAAACAAACATGAAAAAGAGGAAAATCGAAGAAGCTGCTCTCATCTTACTTAATGAAAAAAAAAAAAGTGTAGCAAACCCATCAACGCAATGTAGCGGGCTCTGGTTGCCAATAATAAAAGAATAAGTTAGCAACAAGAATATATCAGCATTGGCGGATTAATAGAAAGTCAAAGACGCATCATCTTTAATTATGCAAAATACATATACAGTACACAACACAAACATATAATACATAAACACATAATATATACACACATAATACATAAACACACAAAATAATCGGAATTTGATATCATCCTGAGAGTACAAAAAACAACATTCTCAGAATGTTTAACTAAAATCATAGCTATTTTCTAGAATATTGAGTTCATGTAAGTCACCCGTCAATGTGGAAAACAATAGCCGCCAAACAACTATTGGTTATAAGAACAGCTCACTATTTTAAAATAATAATACTTTGTAAAGAGTTAAGTCTTCAAAAAGTACGTTGCCGAATATATTATATGCATATACTAAGAAAATAATGCCTCTATAAATACTAAATTGTTCTATCTATATAAGTATAGAACATTCACAAAAATAGTGCCTTCATTATTCTAACGATATCTTAAAAATTATCTAGGATTATAAAAATAATCCCATCTTATAGATCTTCTATTGTTGAAAATTTGTAAGTTGTTAGGACCGCCTTAAATCCTAATTAAATAATCTTCTTAAACCCACGCTGTGTTTATTGCTGGATTTACCACTTATTTACCAAAATTATGCATAAGTCAAGGCACTATATTTGTAGATGTACCTTACTATCAGTTTAAGTACTATAATTACCAAAAGTTGATCACTACCTTCCTTATACATTTCAGAACAGATTTCGTCGATTCCTGAGGCTTTATTATTTTTAAGTTTTTGAGTGGCATTTGGCACTTCTATTGTTGATGCCTCAATAAGTAGTTACTGATGTAGGTTTAGTTGATATTTTCTACGTTGTGCTTTCTTCAACATTGGGATGTTAAGAACCGGTATCATGTACAATTTTCACCGCTAATATCTCTACATCTTTATTGTAGTATTTTCTTTTTTAATTTTTATCAAATAAACTTTGTACCTGATTTAACGTTCTCTGTTCCATATTCCATCCTAAGTAGATGGATTTCTGCAAATATAATATCTCCTATTTTTATCCATAGCTGATTAATATCTTCATCTTCTACGTTTTATGTTCTTATTTTATTTTGTATTTGCTCTCTAATATCGTTATATTCTCATCATCATCATCACTGGCTCGACAAACCTTTTTGAGTCTTGGCCTGTTCCAGGATTCTTTTCCATTCTGATCTGTCTCGTGCTTTTTTCCTGAAGTTTTTTATTTTTAAGGTTGTTATATCCTTTTCTATTTGTTCTAAGTATCTCAGCCTCGGTATTCCTCTTGTTCTTTTTCCTACTGGCATCTGTTTGAATATTCTGTTTGGTATTTCACCTTCTTCCATTCTTTCTACATGTCCTATCCAACACAGCCGCCCTATTTTAGTAAATGTTATAATATCCGGATCCTGGTATATTTTGTATAGTTCAAAGTTGTTTCGCAAAATTCGGTTTTCTTTTGTGCCCTTATATATGTGTCGCAAGATTTTTCTTTCGAAAGTGGCTAACAACTTTTCCTCTCTTTTAGTGAGTGTCCAGGTTTCTGAGCCGTATGTGAGTACCGGTCTTATTAAGGTTTTGTATATTTGGCATTTTGTTTTTCTTGCGACGTTATCTGATCTTAGTTGCCTAATTAAGCCATGGTAACATTTATTGGCAATAAATATTCGCCGTCCCTCAGTATTTTCTCGAGTACGATGTTGAACAAGATGCATGATAGAGCGTCTCCCTGGCGTAGTCCCTTTTTCACATCTATTGTTTCCGTTAATTCATTTTGTATCCGGATTTTACTTTCTACTTTTAGAGATTTTTTTATCAGTTCTATTAGTTGTGTTGGTATATTAAATTCTTTCATTGCTTTTATTAAGAATTCTTGGTTTATATTGTCATATGCGCTTTCAAAGTCTATGAAGAGATGATGTGTGTCGATGTTATATTCACTTGTTTTTTCGAGGATCTGTCGCAGAACAAAAATCTGGTCTATTGTTGTCTTCTGCCTACAGAAGCCACTGTGGTATTTGCTAACTATTTTTTCAGCGTGTAGTCTAAGTCTTTCATAAATAACGTTGGACATTATTTTGTATGCTGCATATAGCAGCGTGATTCCACGGTAGTTTCCACATTCTAACTGATTTCCTTTTTTATATAATGGTACAATAATACCGCTATTCCACTCCGCTGGTAGCTGTTTATTCGACCATATCTTTGTTATCAATTCATGTATTGTTCTTTGTAGTGCGTCTCCTCCTTCCTTCAGTAACTCCGATGCTATTTGGTCCGATCCCGGTGCTTTATTGTTCTTTAATTTGTCTACTGCTGCTCTAATCTCGGATATTGTTAGTGGAGTCTTTTCTCTGTTGTCTACTTGGTCTAATGGTATGTCAGGGTTCGTCTCTCTCCGATCTCCTTCAAGCTTTTCCGTAAAATGTTCTGTCTATCTACTTAGTATCTCTTGCTGTTCTGTCAATATATTACCTTCCTTATCTCTACACATCGTTGTTCTCGGTTTGAAGTCTTTTCTGCTTTTATTCAGTTTCTGGTAAAATTTTCTTGTCTCCGTTGATTTACTTAATTCTTGTAGTTCTTTGTTCATATATTCTCTCTTTTTTCTTCGGTGAGTTTTCTTTTCTTCTTTGCGTAGTTGTTTATATTCTTCCTCTGTTTGTCGGGTTCTGTGCCCCTGTTGCCTCAGTAAATATGCTCTGTTTTTTCTGTCTGTTATAATCTGACATTCTTCGTCAAACCAGTCATTCGTTCTTGTTCTTCTTTCTCTACCTTCTATGCCTAATACTTCTTTAGCTGCTTCTTTTATGATGTCTCTGCATTCTTCCCACCCCTTATTTAGGTTTTCATGTGTTAGTCTGTTTTCTAGTTTGGTTTTTATCTTTTCTTTATACTCTTTATTTTTGTTTGTTTCTTTGAGTCTTTCTACTTTGTATCGTTCATGTTTAGAGCCTCATTCTTTTGATGTTTGAATCGTTATATTCTAGTCCATTGAATATATCAAGTTCAGTTTGATAAGTCAACTAGTATAACACTATACATAAACGATTTAAAAACATATGAATGTTTATTAAGATTTGTTTTTCATGGGACTGTCAACCAAAAGTAGTTAAATTATTTTACATATTTCTATACTTCTCTTATTTTAAATACTGAAATTTGTGTAAATTAAGATAATTAAATATCTTACTTCTCTCATAAACTCCACGCCTTTTTCAAATGAAGGAAACACTATACTACCATACTTCTTACACTTTGGCAGGGGTCGAATTTTAAGTAACACTTCCGTAATAACTCCTAGTGATCCCTCTGATCCTAATATTATATGATTGAAATCTGGACCACAGCTAAGTCGTGGTACTTGACAGTTTTTTTGTAGAACACCCTTGGGAGTTACCATTTTTACATGAACAACAAGATCTTCTATATTACCGTAGACGTTCTTTTTCATTCCTAAAACAAAACAGTAATACTTTTAAATATTTTATTGCATGGGAATAAACCACAATTTTAATTAAAAATACTTTATATCTGATTAGAATTCCTTATAATGTATTTTTCGAACGATTTCTTAGGTGGGAATCGAAACGTTAAAAATAAAAGATTTTTTAATTAAAGTTGTGGAGTTTGGAAAGTATTTTTGTATACTATTTATTTTTTTTCAATAAAATGTGCGTCAATGAAGTCAATCATAGACGATAGAAATGTATTCGAGGGTGACCAGATTTAGAAAAGATAAATGGATCAATATATTATATATTTAAATTTACAGTAGCATTAGTTCGCAGTTCGGACAATTTTCAAAAGAGATTCTGTGCTTTAGCGAAGTTGAGAATTTTCTCTTCACCGCCGAATTATACACGTACCAGTTCTATCGATGCAGAGATGTTCTTGGCACTCGATAAGCAACGCGTAAAGTTTTCAAGAACATGTAGCTCTGCTTATATAATCCCGCTGAGACGGTCTTTGATTATTAGTATTGGCGAATTATGATTGGAAGTGACATCAGTGCTAATTCTATGCGATAAATTATTATTCAAATTAAAATTTGTGTTATTTGTAATTAAGTGTGTTGTTAAGAAAAACGTAACAACTGGTGTCAGAAGTGGGGTTAAGTGATATAAGTTATTTTCTAGAATTTGTATGGTAAAACAAGAAGCAAGACCCAGATAGAAGAAATTTGAGATATGATTGCCATGATAGAACAACGTCGAAGAGAAGAAAAAGAGGTTGATGAAAAACGACAAGAAAAAAAAAACGCCGACAAGAACCTCCGAATACACAGAAAAACGTAACAATATTAAATAATTGTCGTCAAAAATGAGAGTTAAAACTAAGAAATTTTAAGTAGAGGAAACAAGTAGTGTGAGAAATATTAATGGTATTGTAAAATATTTGCAAATCAAATATTGGAAACTATTTGAAAAAAAAAAGAGGAATCATTAAATATGGAAGTTGTTAAATAGGATTACAACAAAATAAAAAAATTATAAGTAAGAGAGAAATTTCAAGAAAAACTAAAATAGATGAGTTCTATATGGACGGCGTTATGCATCACTAGACCACGCAGCATTTGCTCAAAATGTGAATTATGGCGATTTCTGGTGAGAAATTCTTATTCTGGATTTTGAATTTTGCATGACTAGACCAAGCGACTAACTTTGTATATTAGTTTTGCATTAGTAGACCAAGAGGCTCTTGATAATTATTAAAAATCGAATATTTGACAATATAGGTACGTTAGTTATTGTTATTTATATTTTCCTTTGTTCTTGTTCCACGTCCATTCTTCCTTTCCTATAGTTAGTTTGTTAAATCCAATTCTCACTAAATTCCCTTTCATTTTTTTCTGATTCAGTTAGGTCGTGATTAATATACATGCATTGGACATTAATTTTTTGCATTTGGATTTATTTTTCATGATTTTTTCTTAGTCATCAGCATTATCAAACTCCAGCTTACATACTCGCCTTTCTCGCCGCTTTTACCCGAACTTGTACTTCTAATTTTTCTGCAAGAAAATTGGTCATAGTACTTTTTAATATTTTTGTATCTGTTGTCTGCATTTGGAGGCCGGTTACTACCACATTGTTTACAACAGACAAGCACCATATCAAAAATCTAATAGAGAACATATATAAAAGGAACAAAACATAAATAAAATTATAGACAGCAACAGCATAATCCGACGAGGTAATTTATTAAAATCATTAAAGTTTAATCTAATATTGGACGAGGTGATAAAAGGAGTAAAAAGTGACGATCTAAAAACAATGTTACATAAGTTCAATACTAAGGCTAAGGAATTTAGCATCAAAATATCACCACAAATCTTCTTCTTCTAGTTCCATGACCGTTATCGATCGTTGGATATCATGTTGGCTACCATATTCGCTATCGTGACTTTATTGACAGCAGCTCTAAATAACGATGTAGTTGATTTTCCATACCATTGCCTTAGATTTTTCAGCCATGATGTTCTTCGTCTACCAGGACCACGATTACCTTGGATCTTTCCCTGAATGATCAGATGTAAAAGATCATATTTTTCAGGGTGTCTCATAATGTGACTGAAGTATTCCAGCTTGCATTTCTTTATTATATTGACCAGTTGTGTTGTTTGGCTCAGCCGTCTAAGGACCTCCTCATTTCTAACTCTGTCGACCTAGCTTATTTTCAGTAGTCGTCTGTATACCCACATCTCAAGGGCTGTCAAGCATTTAAGCATAGCCTCAGAGTCCACGCTTCCACTCCATACAGCAGACAGGAAAGATGTAGCAAGATGTCATACGAACTCTAAGGTCAATGCTAAGATCGTGACTGCAAAGTACGTTTCTCATTTTTACAAAGGCAGCTCGGGCTTGTTCTATTCGGCTTTTAATTTCTGCGGTTGGATCCCAGCTCTCATTGATATTACTGCCGAGATACACGAGTTTCTCTACTCTGTCCAGTGTGGACCAATAATGTATTAACTTGAGATGAAATACTGAAATTTACATACCTTGGAAGCAAGTTAGTAGTTTATTGAGAACATTGTTGTGGAAGAAGGGAGAAAACAAGCGAAATAAGCAAGAAGTACAGGAAGATATCTCAACAACACAATATAGAGAAACAAATACAGTCTACCGCAAAATCAAGACCAGAAATGAGTCCTAAGAAGAATAATCGTAAAAATATTAATTTAAAAGTAAGATGTAATGAGATAGGAATGAAATAGAGGTACAAAATTGACAACATAACTGAGCGCGTACAAGAGATAATAAAAAGACCATACACAATGTAACAAATAAATTAATAGTTATAATAGCCCGCACTTCTTTACTAATCGGAAGAAGCATAGGTCCACCTAGAAACATATGAAATAATACCACTCCAAAGTTTGAAGGAAAACAGGCAATATAACTAAATAAAAGAAGAATCAGTTTTACTCTCCTACTGGTTAGTACTTTTTAGAAGGTTTTATGCTAGGCACTTGGGACAAGATAAAGAAAATGATCAAAATAAGAATCACGTATATGCGCTTATCTTTTAATATAAAATATAATAGATATACCTGATGCTCTCGTGGCGACCCAACCTCCAAGTGTAGAAAATTCATAGCTGTCTGGTTCGTGTCCAGTTGTATAACCGAGTTTCTTCAGTTCTCTTTCCATATCTTGACCTACGATACCACTCTCGAAGCAAGCCACAAGATTTTCTTTGTCCAGCCTAAAATATAAGTAAAATAAACTCAAAATGAGAAGCAATATGCATTAAATTAATTCAGTAATACCTAATTCAGTAATGCCAAAATATTATTCGCGATGTAACAATAAAACGATGTAACGTAAAATAAGCTAAATAAAGAAGTACAAGGCAACTTATAATTAATTAGCATAGGAATTATATTTAAGGGTGGTTAAAGGCTGGTTATGGACCTCGAAGATAATATGAGATGTCGACTCTTATATTGCAATAAAACTCTGAGAAATGTCCACCCGTTTCCCAATGAAAGGGTGGAGGGTTCTGGAAACAGAACTCGACTCTGCCAAAAAATCCTACTCTCACGTCCTCGAAGACATATATGTCGCGTAACTACCGGGAATATGGCGTACAATGGAAGTGCGTTATATATCAGAGAAGAGAGGATGAAAGGCGAATATCGGCCGCCTTAAAACTGGAACATATCGACTAAGGAAAGAAACCCCAATAGAAAATCCTGGTCCACCAAGCTTGGGGGTTGTCAAAAACTCTTTTGACTAAAAATTCTAACGCCGAGCCTCGGAATATGGATAGAAACTTACGACGACGACACCTGGCAAAAAAAGGACTTTAAAAGGTCTCAATTTTTATAAATAAATATATAAGATTTTGCGTACACCTCTAAAAGTTCCTGTTACATTGTACGACATCGAAAGAATAGTTGTTGGAGTCTATGCGCCAACAGATGATTCAAATCAACAAGTTAAAGATTCCTTTTATGAAGGGTTATGAAAGATTTGTGATAAAATAAAAAGTCCTCAAGAAATAAACTGTTAGGAGACGATGACCTGGTGGGAGGGCACGGAAAAATAGTTAAAAATGGTCCAGGGGACAGCTTAATTGAGTTCTATCAACTTTTTGGTTTAAAAATAATGAATACTTAATTCCAACACAAAGATATTCATAAATACACTTTCGAACGACCTTCACTCAAACAGAACTCGATCATAGACTTTATAATAATGAGACAGAAATCAAAATTTAAGGACCAAGACTGCATAGTAAAAAGAGGATATAACTGTGGGACAGATCACCACTTTCTTTTAGCTAATCTTTTGTGTCTATTTAAACAATACTACAAACAGAACACCGAAAGTGAGAGAAACAATATTACACAGTACAAAACGGAGATATATAAATTGCGCCTTTTATTTCAACCAAGTATTAAACATCTTTTTCAATCTAGATTAGAAAAGGAACTAAATGAGATGGAAAGAAATATGGATATAGAACAAGAATACAACAACCTCAAAACGATAATAAAAAATTGCTTATTAAGTATTAGGAACAGAGAACAACGACAAAAAACACCACGAACCACCATGTATGACAAAAAACGTAAAATAAATGATACAAGAAAAAAACAAAATGTATAAGAAATGAAATAGAGTAACATATCAAAAAAAAAACGGAGATGTATGAAATCAAATAAAAGAAGAAAAAAACAATTTCTGGGAACTAAATTGTGTCCAAGTTGAAAATTTAATTGGTGGTTCTCAGACTACGGAAGCATGGAGAACCATCACTAATCTAAAGAAAAACACCCATAACTTAATATCCCCATACACACCCATAAGCAACTTAATTATTATAGAAAAGTGGGAAAATCACAATAAAAATTTACTTCAAGAGTCCAGATTGGAATATATGGGAGAGGAATGCAGTATGGAGAGACAAACAAATAATAACATTAATACTAATAACAACGAGGTCCGTATTGCGTGAATTAAAATGAAAAACGGACAATCTCCAGGACCTGCCAATATAGCTGTAAAGTTACTTAAAGCAGGAGGTCCACTCCTAATAGAACGAATAACTTTTGATGCCAACAAATTAAAGTACCATCTGAATGGAAAACCGCTCACCAAGGATACATCTTTAAAAAGATAATCGAAAAGATCCTAACTGCTACAGAGGATTAAGTGTCCTACCTACTTTCGGGAGATTGTTTGGAAAGATAATAAACAGAAAAATACAAGATAATGTAGGACATCTAGTTAGCGAAGACCAAAGTGGATTTACGCCTGTTAGATCTTGTTGATATCTTGTTTATACTCCAACAATTAATAGAAAAAAGAATAGCGGTTGGTACCGAAGTACATCTAACCTTCATCGACCTAGAAAAGGCGTATGATACAGTTTCAAGACTCAAATTGTAGCAAGTTTTACAACAACTCGGCATTAGTCCATACCATTTAGGCATAATCACAGAAATATACAGGGATAACACTACTTAACTACAAATTGGAAATCGACAATCAAGCCAATAAAAGTAATTAAAGGACTAAGACAAGGATGCAGTATGTCACCCTTACTGTTTAATTTATATATTGAGGCAGCCTTCGAACATTGGAAAAACCACTGCCAGGGAATGGGAATCCTGATAGAAAATGACGTACTGTTCTCCCTGAACTTTGCGGATGACCAGGTCGTCCGAGCTAAGATTCGTATGATCTAGAATTTATGATAAAGCGTCTATACAAAGAATATGTAAAATGGGGGTTACAAGTCAGCGTGAAGAAAACAGAATCAACTCAGATGCAAGGTTAGAAGTGTTGAGAGACGAGGACGTGGAAATCAAACAAGTGGAAAATTTTAAATATTTAGGTGCACTCATTGATAAGAACGGCTTGGGAGAAAACGAAATTAAACACCGAATTAATCAAGGAAGTAAAATTGTAGGATGTCTGAACTCCTTATGGTGGGATCGCAACATTTCCAAAATAAACAAAAAAATAATAGGACAAACCATGGTTAAATCAGTTCTTTGTTATGGGTCTGAAGTATGAACAATTAATGCAGACCTGAAGAGAAGATTGTTGTCAGTTGAAACAGATTATTTAAGAAGAAGTTATAGAACATCAAGAATTCTACAGAAACGGTCATTGACAGAATAAAAAGAAGATATTTAAAATGAAATTCCACGAGGAAACTAAGTTCCTGTAGCTGGCTGTATACCATATATCACAAAAAATTTTTGTTTAAAATCCTTTAAAAAAAAGGGTAAAAACCCTTTAAACCCATATATTTTGGTGGCTACTAGCATGTACAACCGTTTGCACTGATGATGGATTGTTTAATCCGAAAACGTTTTGCAATGTGTTTGTGATAGTCCGTTTGAGGCATTTTTATATACCTTTTATAAAGGATTTTAAACAAAATTTTTTTATATTTAAAATGGTTTGGACACCTATTGGGAATGCCTGACGAACGTTGGCCGCAAAAACTTCACAGATGAAAGCCCCCTGGAAGAAGAAAAAGAGCTAGACCTCGACGCTCATGGAATGAAGGAATTAGAAGAGCGATGGAATCGAAAGGTTTAGAGGAGGAGCATACCTTGGACCAAGAGAATTGGCGGAGTAGAATGGGAATAAGGCGATAGCCATCTCCAAAATGTATTGTATTTACTGTTGGACCCTGTAAGATATAGGAATAATGGATCCTGTAATATATATATATATATATATATATATATATATATATATATATATATATATATATATATATACGGGAATTATATTTGAACTTTATATGTTGGTGTTCTGAAAAGATTGTGACCTGATAGGCAAACATAATGTATACTTCCAAAGAGGAGGACTGGAGCAGTACTAGAACCAATATTATGGAACATAGTTGTTGATGACCTGATTAAAGAGCTCAATAGCGAATGGATCTGTAGCGAAATTTACACCAAGTGCGTTACACCCTACATAACACAGAGACATGATGTCTGAAAGAGAAACTTTCTGAAAGCGTTTATTAATAGACGAAACCTGACTGGCTGCGTTGGAAGAGGCATAGGAAAACCTGCGGATTAAAATCAAAGGGTATTTTCGGATTATACACTACACAGTGGTGAGACGATGGTAACTTATGAATGTATACTTTGACAGAAAAAAAAATAACTTTTTCTTTCGGAGCTATTTCTCGATAAAAATGTTCATCTCTTAACAAATGCCGGAGATAGTTTAATTTTGTTATAAATAAATGAACTTATTTATACTCCAATCATCAGAGACGAAAATGCCATTGAATCTCTAAAAATCATACGAATAAGCTGAATTTTTCTGAGAATGTCAATTTTGGGATCCAAGAAAAATGCAAAAAAGTTTACTATTTCTAGCCCCCGGCTTCCCCCTAAAACCACTGGACCCTGAACTCCTGAATATTGAACTTTATAAAAATTGTGTATACTCGCAACATTCTTCTTAAACTTCTTAAGAACAGTAATTCTTTAACAATAAAGTATATTTACTTATATTCTTTCTATAATAGACTTTTTGTTTTAGTAGGTAGGTAGATAGTAGGTTAGAAGTAAAACGGTAAACTACAAAAATTATCTATAGTCTCGTATTTGACACTTGTCAAATAGTCGTTATCGTTTCTCCACGAGCGATAACAACCACAGACCACTAATAACTAGACATTTCACGCAGGTAGCTCAAGGTCACACTAAACTAAATGTCATTTGTAGTACCGATATAAATCTCTTAATGTCGCTATTCTCTGGCTATAGTCGATACTCTGCAGTTTAGTAGGTTTAGAACCAAAGTAGAATTTAGAAGGAGACCATTAGAACTAAACCATAGGTTTAGTAAAAATTATAATTGTCAATCGCCAATTGTCAATAATTGATTAGCGTCTATATAATCAGATTTCCGATGGTTATTATTCGACTAAATTGTTTGATTTGATGGTTATTATTGCAAAGAAATCAAACTAAACTTGGTTTAATGGCTCTGGGTTATTGTTAGCATGAACCTCAAATTAGTTTGTAAATTACAAATCCCCTATCTCAGTGGTCTGTGTTTTAAATGTTCCTAGCGTTCAAATAATATTTTGCAGATAAATAATAATTAGTTAAATATGGTTTTTCATAATAAATGCTGTATCCTACAATGTACCAATTCGTCAACAATTAGACATGTTTTTGCAAATCCTGATAAAGACATTATACGATTTAGGAA